TAGGGAACAATGGGGAAAATTGAGGTTTGGTACCTGGGTTGGCTCAGTGGGATGAGGCTGAGGAGTCCCCATCTGCAGTCTGGGGACCCACAAAACCAGTGGTGTGATTCAGTATGAGTCTGAAGGGCTGAGGACCAGGAACCGGTGGTGTGAATCTCAGTCCAGGGCAGAGACGAGATGGCAGGTGAGGCATGTGTTCTATTCAGGCCCCAGTGGATTAGCCGAAGCCCACACACACAGGGAAGGGGGTCTTTACTGAGTCACAGCTAATCTCCTCTGAAAACATCCTCACAGGCCATCCAGCAATGCTTTACCAGCTGTCTGGGCACCCCGAACCTAGTCAAGTTGACACATAAGAATAGCCATCACAAACCTTCCCTCTGTCAACCTGATGACTGCACACATCACCTTAGACCATTCCCAACCTCCAAATAAAGACAGTGAGGTCATAATTCCTCGTAATGTGGTCAAATGATCCTGGGGACCAGTGACGATGCACGGCCGCCTTCCCCAGAGGAAGGGGAACGGCACCCGAGTGATATTTACCCTTCTCCTTGAGAGCGTGTGACTTAAATACCGCTATGTAAATAAAGTCAACGCGCCTTACGTTACACGAGGGAGTAAGAGACGGGAGAGCAAATATGTTTGATATGCACACACACGCATTCATAATAAAACGAGAGGAATGCTCGTGACAGTCTCGGTCCTCGTTTCTGTCACTGGTCACATAGTCACAGCTGGGATTTATAAGCAGTCTCCCCTGCATAGGCCCTCTCCTTCAGCAAGCGCCTGCCCTGGTTGTGGTTCTTTGGCAGCTGGGGTGACCCAGAACTTCCCTCCTGCAGGGTCCCTTCCTTGCGTGCTAACTCAGAGGCAGTACAAGCCCAAAGTGACTGTCTTCACTTCCCGTTTGAAGGACTCGTTCTTGTGTCTCCGGGTGGGCACGTCCCTCCTTTTCAAACTAAGACCTCTGGGCCTGCAGAGCATAACTTCATGAGAACAGGAAGCAAAAAATGTTGTGAGTGGGTCACTAGGGGTAGGAGTGAGTGGCGCCCCCTGCATTTCCACCCCTCGGTCCCTAACGTAGTAAATGCTGGCTCTCAGAGAAGCAGCTCCACGTATTGGACCCTGATCCAAAGCACACAGGCCTCCTGGAGAGCCCTGCCTCCACCCACAAGGTGTGGCCTTTGCTCCTGTCCATCAGGTCAGCTGCGTCAGGCTGTCGGGAGCATGCGAAGGCCGGTGGGTTTTAAGGTCATGGGTGCATTGTCACTCTTGCTGGCACATGCCAGACACAGCCTGGGGCACCCAAACTGTCCTCACAGCCCAGGCAGCACCCAGGACAAGCAAATGGGAGGCAGCTTTAGGGGAAATGTCTCCTATCCTTCAAATGCAACTAAGGGACTCATAATATGACAGTCTCCAACCTCATGAGTCACAGTGACACTGTGCTGTTGATCTTCATTATGATTTGGGGGAAAGCACTATAGGGCCTTTTCACAATAGCACTTTTTGACAGGTGACAGTATTCGTCTAGCCAGTTCTTAACCTCGTGGAAATAGTTGGAATTCTTTACTTTAACCAGGCCTTGGCTTACGGACCACAGTCCTCGTTCTCGGAAATCACATCCTCACCTATATGCTCGGAAAGTCCCCACAGGTGTCCCACAGCTGCCTCATGATTTGAAGAAATGCGAGCTCAGTGTTGTTGTCTGGCTGAGAAGCCTCTGGTTCCTTTGGATCACAGGTTGGTGGTGACAAAATGTGCCTCTCGGACAAGTCAGCGACCTGAGCACGGCTTGCTTTTTCCTTCTGCCCCTGACAGAAAACCACCCAAAGGAAGATAATCCAGGCTTGTTTCTAGAGGTTTTTTTCTTTCTTTATTTCCTTTTTACCTTTCAAACCCCTTCACGCATTTCTCCCACCCCCACACCTTGCAACTGCCAGTCTGTTCCCTGTGTGTATGAGCCTGGGTTGTTGTTTGTTTGCTTTGTTTTGTTAGATTTCACACATAAGCGAGCTAATACGGCACTTGTCTTCCTCAGAGGTTATTTCTGTGTGAGCTCAATGGATGCACATCGCTGCCTGGGACGCCCCACAGGAGACACGCTGCTGAGAAGCTAGGCTGCCCCAGCTTTTCTGGGCACCCAGCTGTGGGAGAAGCAGTGAGGGTAACCTCTGCAAGCCCCCTTCTGTCTGACTCCTGTCGCCAGGTGTTCCTGTCCCTCCTCTCTGGTTCCAGTGTCCCGTACTCATCCCACACATGTCCTCTCCTTTGGGACTTCTCTTCCTTGTCTATCATTTCCCAACCCCCCTGCACCATTCATGACTCTCTAGAGCTGCCTTGGCCACTGTCTCAACAATGCCATATGTGATGGCCATGGAAAATGTGTCAGTGGGAAGGTAGGACTGTTCTCTTCCAGAAAATGCTGTCACACAGAGGAGCCCTCCGAGTCAGTCCCCACATGGTACTGGCTGGTTCCCTGGCCCCGGTCCCACCCCTTATCTCTGCGGTAAGCCCTGACACATCAGTGTGAGCACATGTGATCTGTGGGCCACAGACTGTGGGCCTCACGTGACAACATGGGAGTGTTCCAAGAGGAAGGAAAAACCCCTTTCAAGGGCGTTGTCAAACCAAAGGCATCATCCTTCACAAAAAGAAACTGGAAATCAAATTACAATTAGGAGGATGAAATGTGAACATCAGGGTGATGGTTTGGACATTGAGCTCCAGACACTCTTTTGCAGCTTCATGGATGCGTGTGTCCTTGAAACTGTAATTAAATTTCTCAGACTGGTATACACTATCTTTTGTTCCAATTCCCAGGGTTTTTCTCTCTCATTTCTTGCTATCAAGTATAATTTTTAATTAGTATCAAACAGCACCACTTGCATATCTGTGCAGTTATTTCTAATTGGGTGTTTCTGGTTTGGGGAGTGGGGAAACGTGACTGTGGCTGGCTGAATCGTGGGGCATCCACACATTTCAGAATGGGGCCCCGTTCTGTGGGACGGGGCCATGTTGCTGTTACATAGCTACTCAGAAATCATCCTCAGCTGTCACAGCTGCATCCAAGATTTGAGGACTAAATCTGGGTGAATCTAGCTATTATAACAACATTGGATAAATCTAGGTATTATAATAGCACTGGATAAATTTAGGTATTATAATAGTATTGGGTAAATTTAGATGTTATAATAGCATTGGATAAATTTGGGTATTATAATAACATTGGGTAAATTTATATGTTATAATAATATTGGATAAATTTAGGTATTATAATATTGAACAAATTTAGATGTTATGATAGTATTGCATAAATTTAGGTATTATAATACTATTATAACTAGAAAAGTCTTTACTATATATTACCATTGCTAATATTTTGGCCTACAATTTCCTCAAATAGAATGTTTTGTCTATTGTTAGTTTATAGGTTTTCATCTCAAGAAGGCAGACACACACAAAAGACAATATTTCAAGGCTGACCTCTTGGTGATAAGGTGCAGGCTACAGCAAGTGGAACAATATTTAGGGTAAAGTAGGGCACCCCACCCCCCTAGTTGCGCCCACAGCCCTGTCCAAAGCTGAGCCATGGTTGGCACATTTGTGCTGGTCCCATGTGCTTACAGTTTTCTCATGCAAACATATGTAAATATGTGCACACACTCGCGCACATGCTTTGGTTCTTCTTTACTAAGATAAACTCAGACCAACATGCCATCCTGGAGTTTGAAATCTGTAAAGTGCTGTGGGCAGACTTCTGGCTCAGTTGTTCATTCTTTTTAATGGCTGTGCTGCCATTAAGACTATGGATGGGCATGGTCACGTTCACCATTCTAGATGTTTAAAAATAGCATGACAATAAACATTTGTGTGCAAATTCTGTTTTCATTTCAGTACTATTATTTAGTTTTTACTGGCACTGTATTTCTGTCAAATAAATTCACAAGTCAAATTTATGAATGTTTCCTGCTTTAACAAATACGTTCACATAAGTCTGTGTGTATTAGTAGAGTGCTCCGCAGAACCATCAAGGTCGTGCATCTGTCTCCTCCTTCCAGAGCCATTGTCAGTGTGGCATGGGTCAGTGAAGGGCCAGTGGTGCCAGTGCTGTCACGTGTTGGGTGACAACACGGGGTCCAGGCCTGCTCTTGGGTGGGACATGCCCCATGGGGCAGATCTTGCCACAGAGCCAGTACCACCGACAAGCATCCAGGTCAGCTGTCTGACCAGGCCAGAGAGTGCAGCCCAGCGTTAACAGTGTGGTCCCAACCACTGTTCAGAAGAGGGACCCTGGCATTGAGAAGCCGGTGTTGGGCCAATCTCAGGCTGGGCCTCAGGGAACCCACAGTCCCCTGGTGACAGTGCCCCCAGGAGTGGGGCAGAGCCCACATCCAGGACACACACTCTAGGCAGGTTGCCAACGCTGGGCCGAGGGCAGCAGAAGCAGCAGACATCTTGCTTCCTGGAGTCATTAACAAGATGGAAATTGGCCGGAAAAGGTGGAAGTTCACTGATCGGAACTGGGGACTGATGTCAGAGCAGGACTGAGTCAGCTGACCTCTGGAATCTTACTAAATCTGTCTTTCCTGAGACTGGGATGGACTAAATTCTTGGGAAGGGTGGAAGGTGTGATGGGTATGGGCAGTTAGGTCTCAGTGTCTGGGAGCTAGTGACAAGAACCTGCACTCTCAAAGGTCACCTACAGCCACAGCTCTCCAGGATGAAATAAACAAAGGCAGAGCCGTCCTCTGCTGTGACCACAGGTACGAGGGCCAGGCTGGGTATGTCCTGCCGGCCATGAAGACCTGCACAGCAAACCCCGGTTAGGTGGCCTTCACCCATTCATTTTTGCAGTTTCTGTGTCTTTCAGGAAAATTTAGAAACCAAATAGGGCCTAAAATTTTAACTCACATTAAGTGATCAGAATTATCATTTTGACTTTGATGTTTTCTAAACCTATACCTTCAAGTGTTAATATTTGTTCTGTATTTTAGATGGCTACCCCAAAGAAGAAATGATATATAGATGGAGAAAAAACTCAGTTGAGGCAGCTGATCAGAAATCCTGGCGACTTTATCAGTTTGACTTCATGGGCCTCAGAAATACTACGGAAATCGTGACAACATCTGCAGGTAGGAATTAACAAAACAAAAAAAAATCTGACTTTTTTCCTACCTGATGCCTAAGGCTGTATATATATAGTCACACCTTTCACACAGAATTCTTTTATGGGTATATTTTAGCGAATTATAATTGGGCAATCATGATTTTAAGTGATATTTGAGGCAAAACAACTGATTCAAAGGTGAAAAAAAAATTTAATGTTTTAATTAGGATGGGAAAAGGGCGATTAGAATTGCCTTATGTTTTTTAACCAAGGCTGTGTTTATAAACATAAGTAGGATTATTACTCACTACTGATCATATTTATATAAACCAGTTTTACAAATGGTGAGAGTTTTACAACTTTCCACATACATAACAAGCATCAACTATTATTGAGAATTTACAAATAAAAAAAGCTGGTGTAAAATGTCCTTTGAGTTTTCGTTTCTAGCTTCTTCCTTTTTTTCTTCACTCTGAATTTGATCTTAAACTGAGTTTCTTTTTCAACACATTGAGCACAATTATCACCCACCAATTTGGTTTAATTAAGTGATTATTATATATTTAGTATAAAGCAGGCAACTAGATAAAAAGAGATGCTTTACCTATTAATTTACTTCAATGTGTTTTCTTGTTGTCATTATATGGGGGTGTTTTTCTTTTGCTTTGTTTTTGGTCTGTTTTTTAGTATATACTTATCTCTTTGGTCCACTATTTTGCAATAGGTTTTCTTCATGCAGGGTTTGGGGAGCACATGGGGTGAGAGTCAGCTTTTCTATTGATGTTATTTTATGTTAATATGCATAATTCACCAGAGTAAAATGTATATTCTGATAATGAGTGCTAAGCATCTTTAAAGGACAGTCCGAATTCTTGATAGATTGTAAATACGTAGAGAGCTATGTGCACAATAAGAAAGGCCTGAAAAGCTATCTGATCCATGGATAAAAGCAAAACCTCCCTAGAGATGTCATATGGTGGTAAAGTTGAGAAATGACATCTGTGTTTAGCTATTAAATATTGATAAGGTTAAAGGAATAGAAGGTCATAATTTCTTTAAATGAACTGTGGAGGCAGCATAAAGGGAAATGTTTGGGGGGAGGTGTTTTCCCAATTATGAGTCACCTACATGAATTTAATTCCGCGCCCTGAGAAGTTGACTGGAATGAGCAGACTCTGGGGTCTGTGGCAGCTGTAGGAGGGCCACCACACAGGGACACTGTTCTCTCATTTAAATGCCAAATGCCAGTACTGCTTTTCCTCTCCTGCTGTTCTCAGTAAGATAATGATAAACATGGGAAACAAAAGGAAATGCAAAGGCAGGTTCAACACCACAGGCTGGGGTTTGACCCTGAGAGAAGACTAACAGTGGGGTGCTGGGAGCTGTGGAGTCCCGTGAGTACCAGTCAGGTGTTATTGTGGGTAAATAAAAAGGTGAACAACACATTCGCTGTCAGCAAGGAGCTTTCGTCTCCCTGGAAAAATATGGTGGATGTGAGAGATTAATGTGCAAACTAGGATGTATGATCAGCATAACAAATAGACGTTATGTTACTCTTAAGTTCTGGAGGGCAGAAGCAAGGCGTAGGGCAGTCCTCTCTGAGCAGGAAATAGCTGTTCCCGTGAGGCTCCATTCTCACACATGGCCAAGAGGGCCTCTCCATGAACTCAGTGAGCGTATTGGCATTGATGGAAGGATGTTCTCCATCCCCTCCTCTTATCTGGCCTCTATTTATTTATGAACCTTCACATCATGTGGAATCGTAAATCACTATGTCTTCTTTAGAAAATATGCAAAAAATAGCTTCTAAAGAAATAACTCTACATAAAAAATAAAACGAACTCACTTGCCCCGCAGTGAATTCTGTTTGAAGATAGGAGTGAGACATAAGTGATGGACTCTCGCTCTTGGTTCTAATGCTCCTGTGGGCTCTGTGGTCACCTGCCCTGTGTCCCATTCCCCCCGTGGAAAGTCCTGGAGCTCTCACTATGACCACTCTCTTGCTCCTTCCTTCAGCCTCCTTTCAGCTTTCTCTTACACAAGACCCAACCCTAGTTAAACTCAGCCTTCTCCCACTCCACCCTGAACCCAGGCAGCATTACAGGGCAAAAAACTAAGTAACTAAATGCACACAGCTCCCATCACTGGTCTCATTTGAAGTCCTTGGCCATGAATTTCAAGTGAACCTTAAGGCAATCATACTACATTGTACCAGTCCAGTGGTTCTCAACCTTTATCAGCACCACTTCTTGAAATAGTAATTCTACAGGTATGCTTGTGCATCTTTTTATCTTTAGATGGCCTTTTGGAGGGCTACTCATGCTAATATCCAAGATTTTTTTGCCTCCTCCAAAAAAACAATTTTCACCCCTTAGGGGTAATACCGCCACGGCATTTTTTTATCCTGAAAGTCAAGGCATATGCAGCAAACTTCGTGAAATGGGGCCAGAAATGTGAGCCGCGCCCTGCAGGGGTCATGCCTTTGGCAGCTTGGGGCCAGTTCAGAACACGCCTACAGGGCTCTGAGCAAGAGGCAGCCCACGAAGACACCAGAGGAGAGCAGGTCAGAAGTCTGGGCCCCAGATTAACTGCTCCAGGGCCTTTTCCCCTGCTGCCTGTTTTATAACAAAGCCCCAAACAGTCCCTTTAAGAGAATAAAATTGTTTTAGTCAAAGTAACCATGAGAAGAGTGGCTGGTCTATGACTACGGCAAAAGCCACACAGCTGGGTGTGAGCACGTGATGTTTCTGAAGTTTGTCCAAGATTCAAGTTCAGCAGCTTCTATAAGGAATTCTCCAAACTCCAAAAAAAAAATCTATATATGAACTTTTATATCATATCCGTATTTAATAGGTAGCGCACGCTCCAGCTGAAATTTTAAACATATTTTCTCCAGGAGTGCCCGTGACTAAGAGTGAGCTCAGGGATCACGAGGATGGAGTCAGATTGGCAGGTTCTGACCTTGGGGACCTTCCATGCCCCATGTGTGCCCACCTTTCATAAGTGAGAAGGACATGCCTTCTCCTTATGTGGCCGTTGTGAATTTAAGTGAACTAGCATTCGCCAAGTGCATAACTGCCATCCATATATATATATAAATAATATCTGTTATTATTGCCTTAATGTACTTCCTGGGAAGGAGAACTGTACTATTTACTACTGGCTCTATTTGGCAAACAGTCCATTGAGTCAGCTGTGAGCCTTACTGGATGAGGCGTTTTAACAGGTCGCTGGTGTCAGATTCGTATCTTGAATGCAAATAGAAACTCTAAAAGTGGTTTCTTCTTGACTTTTTGTCATATTTGTCTGAATGCAATCTGGGTAATAAATCAGTCTGGGTTTTAGAGTCAGGATTTTTAAAATAGCGATGGCGTCTTTGTTCACAAGATTGAGTGGAAACTCTGTCAAACCCATTGAGTCACCTCCCTCCTCGAATTCAGAGAGATGTGGGAAAGCCACGGCTTGGCTGAATGAGCTGCTCATCCACTAAGAAAATTGAAATTCTTTGATGCAAATCAACTCTGACTATGTCTATTCTTTTAAAATCCGATTTCATTCATTATTCCTTAAAAGCAAAATTATCTTTCCATGGGACATGAACAAATTATAGCATTTAGTCATGGTAACAGTGCTATTTATACACACATCATGCTCTGGTGTCCATTTGCTTCCCGTCTTGTACTTTGAGAAAGGCAGGACGGATGCAAACGTCTTTATTATTAGCGGGGGGACTGAACCTCAGGAAGGTGAGGCCTGGCCCACAGTGCATGCTCCAGCAATGTCAGACCATGTCCCTGTGGGGCAGGTGGCTTTTCCATGATGTCACCGCCACAAAGAATTCACTTTACTTCCTGTAGCTCACACTCGGTTTACAGAACGTTTTACTTTCTCTAGTTCAGTGTTGGGTTAAGCTTCATTGTTTAGTACATTCTCTGGCATGGATGATATATCTTTTTTTCATAATGGTGTTACATTACTGCTTGCAACCATGTGATTAGAAGAAAAGTCTTAGATCTGTATGTACCGACGTAAGGGAGTATGATAACTTAAAATTATCTGTGAAATAATTATGTTATCATTGAAACTTAGAACTCTGGCAAGGAATGCCCTAGTACATTCCCATGTCTAAATGCTAGCTACCATCGATGTTCTCTATGCTTCTTTGATCTACTACAACTCTTTGAGGTAGTTACGCTACTACCTCCCTCATACAGATGGTGAACCTGAGTCGTAAAAATATCCTTGTTCATAAAAACCCATGGCAAGCCATTCTGAGAGAGCCTCGGGGTAGCTGCTGGGTGCTCTCATTGAGTGCTAGGAAGTTCAGGCAGCTCCCCAGCCCTGCGCCAAAGCCACCTGTAGTACTTGTTCCTGTGTGCCCCACAGCAAGCACCCACCTCACACACCAGCCTCGTTTCCTTGCACCATCCCTACCTTCTCAAGCTCTAGTCTGTCCCAGCCAGGAAGCCATTTTTAAGAGATGTCTCAAAGACAGGTTGAGTAGCCATTTACTCTCACAAGTCCTGACGTGGCCCCAGGACAGCACTCTGCACGTTGCTCTGTATGATCAAAGGGGAAATACAGACGCCACTGCTGAGAACAAAAAACCTCTGCAGCCCTCCTGCCTGGTTTCATTTCAGGTCTAGCCTTACAAGTCGTGCTGTCTTGGACAGTTATCCTACCTGTCTGAGACTCAGTCTTCTCATCTGTAAGATGAGCCAGAAGGAGCCAGTGATCACTGTGTGGCGTGAAATGTACCTGTTCCTCCCAGTTGATTGACCTATTTGTATCTGAGGGAACCAGCAAAGCAATTAGCTCAGAGGAAGTACTTGGTAGATACAGGACTGTTTGGAAGAGAAAACAACCATTAATTTGTTCCGCCAACAAGCCAAAAAGATAAATACCCCACTTTGCAAACACTTAGTTGGCATCTTAGAAATATTAATGTGGGTGCATTAATGTGGTATACTAGTAAGAAAAATGTGTTTTGAAATTTTAGTGGTATGCTTCACCCGTGTTTATACT